CAGGCTTATAATAAACCTCTCCCGGTGAACGCTCCTCTTTCTTCTGATTTGTTGTAGTATTATTTTAGTAGAAAGATAAATAGTATTATCAGTAAAAATAGTAGTAGTGATAGTATTAGGAGTAGAATTAGTAGTATTAGTCGTGGTAGGATAGTTAGTAGTATTGTTAGTGGCAATAATAAGGGTAGGGTTAGTAGTAGTGATAGTAGGAATAGTAGTACTAGTAGGGAACAGCGGGCGTACGCCCGGTTTTCAGACCTCCCATATCCAACGCTCTGCTCACTGTTCACCGCGTTGGTGCCACATGCGACGTAGGAATGGATGGTTCACTGTGGTTTTCTCTGTCCCGCGAGTTGATTGGCTGATCATGGCCGTAACAGAGATAATTATGAGCAGTTTTCGCTTAGTACTGACTGTACGGCAGCTAATCGACCCCTCCTGCCCCTCGGTGGTTTTCCACTTTCTGCTGGATATTTCCTCTCTGCCTTGTACAAACCCTTTGGCACCGCGGTACAAGGTGCATTTATACCGATTTTCTGAGACATGGCCAATGCGTTCGTTCATGTTGTCGGGATCCTACTCGATTTCTGTCCACCTTCAGCCGGACACGTTCTGGTCACTGTCATACGGTACTATTCAGCGTCTGTGCTCCCAACATGGGTGCAAATGACCCAGACGCAGATAGCTGCGCCATATTTACTGACAATCATTAGTACGCCCTAGTCTTTTCTCTGTCTCCCAAACATCCACGCATGACCGATTGGGTGCGTTGCTTATCAGTAAAACCTAGCTCTCGTCCTGCCGCAATCGGAACTCTTGCCCTCCCAAACAAGACCTTGGTCCACCCTATCATATTGCGCGACGAGCCAAGTGCATTTGGTTCACAGAATTAGAAAACTAGGCACTTTTACAGTGTAAACCTGCGAAAAATTGTCAGAAGTCCACGATCTGTGAACGCCAATGCACCAGAGTGAGCAGCTCCCGATCTAAAAGCGGCAAGACCACGTGTTCTTAGCTCAGTGGTTAGAACGTTGGGTGAAAGTTGCATTTAGAGCCCTATGCGTTTTATTTCTTGCATAACTGCCTACTTATTTCGCAGCAGTAGGCATGCACCGTTTATAAAGAATTTGTGGGTTTATATAGAGTTGATAGGGTTGACACAGAGTTGACGAATATATCATATTGGGTGCTATTAGGCCTTCCTGTATCCTACTGGTTACATTGCTCATTTTAATTATCGCGCGCAAACATTGGTTCGTTTCCTACTTTCATATGCTCTACTTTTTTGATTTTTTTTCTATCCCCTGATATGTCCCACACATTTTACCCCTATTAACACTGGTCCGTATTAGAGAAGGATAGGATTTCCGCGGGCTCTTGTGGGCCGTAAATCTGACTTTTACCGAACGTTGAACGTCCAATCAACAGATCACCAGATCAGGTCTCTGGTCGCATATCAGCTAGGGTCAGTTATGGCTGGCTGATGACAGCTAATAAGCCAGAAGTGGCCATTCCAGCCTCCCTGAACTTTGCCGCTAGTGT